ACAGAAAATTTTCATCTCTCTCCTATCGTTCATTTTATTTATTCATTTTCAGAAAGTATCGGCTATTCTCCTCGTAAACGACTTCTGGGGTAAGTGTTCGTTGTAATTATATATTTTCGAGTGAAAACGTTTTACAGTGCATAACAAAATAGAGTGAAACAGCTTCATTTGTTTCTGTTTTATCATTTTTAACCCATTTTTTTTCTTCACTTTAGATTTATCTACCAGAATCAGATGCTAATGAGTTTTTAGAAGAAACTGTTTTACAAGGTAGTCAGCAAGCTAGTCAAGATATTCTAAAAGATCCATCGGCAACTGCCCAACTCCTTGAAAGTGACTGAAGATCTTTTTAAAATGCAATAGAAGCGATTCAAGGTAGTCTACGCCCTGGTGAATGCTTGAGTTGATCACGTGCATATCGGGCATTGAAAATAAAAATTATATTTGCCAATATCATATTAAGAATCTTCATAATGATTTTATGGCAAACAGTCAATATTCGTAATTAGAACAACTTTTTCGGAGACACGAATATTTTTCTTTTTTTTCAAACAATTTTTATAGAAAATTATAATTTTTTCATGTTATTTAGTAAAGAAATGTTTGCTGAATCGAATGATGCAAGGATCATTTAATTATCTTGAAAAATAACTGTATAACTGGCGATAGTTGGCTAGTAATTGGATTTGTCCTTATCAGCAGCACTATTCCTAATAAGAACAGACTATGCAAGTACATAGAAAATCAATTAGTTTTAGTAAATGTACTGTTTTTGCCTATATGAACTTGAAAATTCCTTTGTGCTTCCTTCACAAGAACATGTGTTTTGATGGATGATCCATTAACCTTCAGTGGTTTAAGGCAAACGAAATTTTACTTTTCTTTAAACAGTGACATTAATTCAAAACTATGCCATTACTACTAAATGATAAACTGTGATAACTCAATCATAATTTGGTGTCGTTCAAACATATAAAAGCTTGTGTTATACTTATATCTTTTTTGTTTACATTTGTGCTCCTTTTGTTATAGAAATAATTCACGGAGAATTTTTAATAAAGTGTTTTGTATAATTATATGTTCGACATAATATTGATGAAAGATGATAATTGCATGTAAGACTCAAACAAAAATTGGATTCGATTGAACAAAGGATTACAAAGCTGAACAAGTTGTTACTGTTATTCGATTCATCTTGATTTATTGGTTTAATTATATATACGACACAGACAAAATTAAAATTCAGATAAAATTAAACTTATGTAAATTTCTTTTGTAATAGAGTGTAAAACTACGAAATAATTTTTTTTCATTTAAAAACAAATTTTAATCACATTCTAATGTATGCACGAATGACTTCTGCGTCAACATCAGAAAATAATGTTCGAAAGTATTTTCATGAACAAGCAAATCAACATGATAATTTCTTAAGCATCAAATTCCGAGGGTAGAAATTTCTTATTCTACCGCAGATAATACATAAGCTAACAGGTCCTTCATTGTTTCTAGTTGGAACGTGACTCGATAAAGTTTAACAACATAATATATTCATACTTTAAATATCATCTATGAGCCAGGCCAACTTCGAGGACATATAAACATCGATAAAAAATACTATTCAAATGAGCATAAACTAAAAGATTCTTTCTATTTTTTGATCGGAGTTTGCTAAGATAAACTAAGTTTCAGTTGAATATACTGGCGAACTCTATAACATCTTAGATTCAGCTAAAGTTCAATCAAAATGAAACGTAACTTAATATAAACACATAAGAGCAGTTCTTTTTTCTTATCTATTTCGAATTTTTTGGTTTCAAAGTCTTTTAAAAGCTGTTTAATTTCGCCTAAGTCTCAATTTTGCTTGGCACATATCTTGAGTAGCAGAAAATAAATGGTTGACACCAAGCTTCCTGAATGCTTATATTTGTAATAAATATAAACGGATATTAAAAAACCAGAGTTACTATTTGGAAAGAGATAATTATTCAATGTTCCTCTCATGTGCAAGAAACTAAATAGTTTCCTTAAAATTATTTCCATAAGAGAGGAAATGAGATGAAGAAAAACGCTTACATCCCCAATATCAATAAAACAACTTGAGGAAACGGTCAATGGATGATTTCGTAGAAATTACAAAACTGAATATTTTGTATAAAATGTCGAAAAGAAATCATAAAAACAAATTTATAAAAAATATCGTATTGTATCATAATGACAAAGTAGAAAGATATCACTTTACTTAATCGAGTCCAATTTCGTTTGATTCTTACTTGCAATTATCATCTTTCATCAATACTATGTCGAACATACGATTGTTTGCGATACTTAAAATTTTTCATGAATTACTTTCATAATAAAAGGAGCATAACAGTAGGCAACAAAGATGCAGGTATAGTACAATCCTTTATATGATTGAACGACACCAAATTATGATTGAGTTATCATAGTTTATCATTTACTAGTAATGATATAATTTTGAATCAGAGATGCTCATGTGATATTTTTCAGCACCCCATGGGGCCCATGGGCTTTCCATGCGCAGGGTTCCCCACAAGCCAATTTTTATAAAATCACTTTCCCCATCTATGGGGAGTCTGGGTTTTTGAACTTCAGCTCACCCCCGACCATGGGCGCCCTTCGCCCCACCCATAGGGCGAACAGAAAAGATAATCCATTCAAATTATATATGACAGAATTTCTTGATCTGTTTTCTGTGGCTTTTTAAATTGACTTTTTTAAGAACAAATCTATTTAGTAAGTTGTTTATAGTGAAATTTCAATTATCAAGTGTAGATTCAAATCACTAATCGAAAATCTACAGACTGCAGACGTTTGACATCAATAATTTATATTCTAGTGGCGCTTCTGATACGATTTTCTAGCAATTTCTATAATAAAAGATAACTTTTCTGCTTTTCCATTTTATCCATAAAAAACCATTTTACTGGCGGTTAGAAAATTGAATAAAAATACTTCAGAAATCAATATTAAAAAAACATATAATATACAATTCGATGCATCTTCATCTCCTGATTTTAATAGTGAAAACTGCAGTTCTCTATCTTCTTTTTGTCAAAAGTTATTTAAAAGAAAATACTTGCTAGCATTCATGTTGTTGTAATACATGTGAACAAAATAGATCTTATCGAAATTTTATTATTATAATATTAGTTGAAGTATAATCATATACTATAGAAATATGGAGCATTCTTTTCTCTATCAAACTATATAGAGAGAAAGTTTCTTAAAACGTGTTATAGCGAATTACAGAACTTGCACCACTACTTTTGGTATACTCTAAGTATGTCACTGATGGAAAGATGAACACAGAAAGTCAAGAGAAGAATGGCGGCTGGAAAAATGAAAGAAATAGTGAAGGTAACTATAAAATTATAGAAAGAAAACGAAAGAGTGGAACGTCGTTTTCATAGTATCACTTGAATACGAAAGAAAAACAACGGAAAACAAAAATGAAGAACAAAAGAGAAAATATATAGGAAGAACGTGTAACATTCTGTATTATTTGTACGACGATAAGACAATTTTTACAACCTCGTCATCCATTTTTTTCAAACGATTTCATAAATGATAAAAGTTCATTTAGACCATGGGGTTAAAAGATTTTTCACCCCATGGTCCACCCCATGGGCAGGGAAATGAATTTGCGAAAATCCACCATTGTGGGGAAGATGATGGGGTAACATATCGCCCCATCCCCATTTGGGGCGTCACCCCATGGGTTCTCCATGGGCCCCGACCATCTGGGTGCCCCGACGAGCATCTCTGTTTTGAATTAATGCCACTGATAAAAAAAGAAAAATTTCGTTTGCATTTTAAAACGCTGTAAGTTAACGAACTGTTCATTGAAGAACATTTTTTGTGATGGAAGCACAAAAACAATTTCAAGTCTAGATGGTAAATATGACTGTTTATTAAAAATATTTTATTTTCTATGTATTTTACATAGTCTGCTCTTATTAAGAACAGTACTCATGATAAGGACACATTCTATTACTTACAAATTACAGTCAGCTATTCCGTTCACTTCCAAGATAATTAAATGATTTTTGCATCATTTGATTAAGCAAACATTCCTCTATTCAATAATGTAAAAATTAATAAGTTTCTTTAAACTCGCTTGAAAACAAAGAAAAATATTCGTGTCTCCGAAAAAGCTGTTTGTATTAGGAACATTGCCTATATTAATGTTCACATGGTATCGATCAGCTAATGTTTATCGTTTCCTAAACATAATCGAATTAGAAAATTATTGACAACTATGGTTCTAGACATTTTTTCAGAAAGAATACTTATAACAAATCAAAGATTATCAGAATAATAATTATTATTGTTCAGGTAAAGAGCATTATAATTGACTATAGAAAATGATTGAGAGAAGATCTATACATGAGTTTGATTATTATATGTAAAATTTCATTGTATATATATTCAAAATATTTAAACATGTCAGTTATTTCCGTTACTTGTTATGCAAACCATGAACGTGCTTTAATAGTAAGAATAGCTCGTCGATTGAATTGTCTATGTTCTAAATCAATTTTTTCTTGAAATTCACATCAAAGACAATCAAATAAAATGTTTTGAACAAATGTAATTAATGTTTTCATGTATATTCCTCATTGTTATTATCACGATCATCAATAACTTCATTTTGCTGATCGTGTTCAGTATAATAATAAATCAAAAATGTTTCAGCATGATGGTTTGTATACTATTCCAAATAACAGGTATAGAAAATCGTGTAAGATCTTTTCCTATTGCTTGTTTCAACACAGAAAATATGCTATAAGATGATCGATCAAGCATAAGAGATGGTAATTTACGACGTGATGTTGTTAAATCAATCGCCATTTCTATCTAAAAACATTTGTAATTATTGTACAAAAAATATACTTTCTCTAAAAATAATCTCAAAAAAAAACACAACAAAAAGAAAAAGAATAATTATTTAAATATATAATAAAAACTCAAACTACATATTAAATAATAAATGTTGGTAAACATATTTTTCCAGTTATTAATGTTGAAATAACAGTTAACCAAGTTGCACTAACAAATAGAATATAACTTGATCCTATTTGATAATCAGATGGTAATTGAAATGGTGAACCACCAATAATTTCTGAATCAAAACCAATTGGAAAAAGAACACTTGAAAGACATAAAAAGATCACTAGAGCAAAAAATATTCCAAAAAAAAAATTATTCTTTTATTTAATAATAAAAATCAAAAATAAATACATACTGGCAATAAATCCAGTAAGTCGACCATATTCAGCTATTGTTATTCGTGTATATTGTGAAGTAACAAGAAAAAGAATAGTTAATGAAAGAAGAATAAAAGCACCAATTGCTAAACCAAATGATATAATCCATACTGAACGAAAATGATGTGGAATAAAACATTTTTGATCATTAGAATTTGATGATGATGATGATGATGATGATGAGAACATAATACACATTTCAATAAGACCAATTGATGTTTCACCTACATCAAATTAATTAAATAAACATTTTTTTATTTTTCATTAAAATTAATATTTTTTTATCTTGTAACAGAAGTATCTCTTAAACAAATATGTTTGAATATGAATTAGTTGACATTTCTTTTGAACTGTGGTCTGATAGTTGTAAGAAAAAATGCACATTGACATACACATCAATTTCGCTGGATAAATTTTTTCTAGAAAATCCTCTTGTTTTTTCTATTTATTGATCTGAAACTCAATCTTTTCTGAGAATAGTAATAGATAGTTTTATAGACGAAACTATAGATTTCTTTGATTTCATGCTTTTCTTAGAAAAGATTGAGTTAAACTCAAAACGAATTTTAGATTAATAAATAGAAAAAACAAGAGAATTTTCTGAAAAAACTTTATTCAATGAGTAATATATATATATATCAAAGTATATTTTTCTTAGAATCACTAAGCTATGGATTATTCATCTAATTAGACAATAGACTATCACTCTAAATTGTATACTTCTTGTGGAAATTTTCAATAAAAAAAAAACTGAATGAAAACATTTTTAATAAAAATCTATTAATCAAAGATTATTCATTCATATAAAATTTTTTAATATTTTTTTTTACCTTGATTAACAGATAAAAGCCATCGTGGTCGTGATATGCTGATGAGAACGAGTAGATCAGCAATACAAAATAATATTGTAGAAAATAATACGAGTCGATCTACTGTTGCCATTTATATATTATTCAAACATCATCCTTGAAAAAGAAAAGTAACAGAAACTCGTTCTTCATCATTTTGTATTCCATGAGAATAAAAATGAGATTATTTCATTGGTTTATCATTTTTCTCCCATAGAAAACTAGCATAGTGACCTCTATACCTATCAAAATGTCCATGTTTTTGTTTTTTGTTTGTGCTCCATATAATAAATAACCTGTGACTGATTGAGTCATAGAGAATAAAATTAAGAGAATAGTAAGAAAGAATGTCTCATTATGGTTTGGGCAGCATAAGATCTCCATCAAATGAAAATGGTTGTAATGGTGAAACAAGTGAAGTTCGACGAAATATTCAAGATGATTGGCAACGTCGTGATGATATTCTATTGTTGACAACAGCTATTAAACGTCTTGTTGATTTTCTCAATCAATTTGGTAATTTCATCATGATTAAATTTATTTATTTTTACTTTGTTTTAATCTATGTTAAGAATCTTCATGTCGATATCGTTTATCAATATTAAATGAAAAATTAACAGCACTTGAACGACATGTTGATTACCTTGAAGCAAGGGTAAAAATAGACTTATTTTATTTCTCATTGAAATTCTTTTTTTACTAGGTGAGCAAAGGCGAAACACTCAATTAATGATCATCTTATTTGTAGTCAGTGTTTTTTTTCTCTTCTGTATATTCGTTATAAAAAAAAACAAACAAACAGATAATGAAAAAGAAATCGTTTTTTTTTCACTTTATTCATCGCAATAAAAGTTATTCTTATTGTAGATTTTATATTATTGAAATACGACGATCAATCGATGAGTTTTCCTAAACCTACGCCAAGTAAGTTCAAAGAAATAAGTATTTTTTGATAAAAATAAAACAAGAAACAATTATGTTTAATATATCATTTCGAGTAGCTTTTTCTAGTTGCAATAGAATTTCTCTACATTACATCTAATTTGAAATATTTTTTATTTGTATCATGAGAAAATATGAATTTATGTTCATCTCCATTCTATATTATGGATTGTTGAGAGAGTACCTTTTAGATAAAGTTCCATTAGAGTAAATTTTTAAAAATGGTTACTGCATATATATTCGGCCGAGAACTAAATCGAATATTTAGATTTGGGTTTTAACATAGAACTGGAAGAATCATTTAAAGAATTCTATAGAAATTCTTACAATTAAAAAGTTTCGATCTACTTTTAGTGATATTTAATCGAGACTAGTCTTGGCTATAAAATGATCTTTATAAAAATAAATTATATTAACTTCGTAGGCTCGATCATGCTCCTCAAAAAGAATAACTCAACTTCGAGCCAATTATTTTTAAAACGATATGGTTGAGCTTATGTGGCTAATATAATTTTTCTTTTCTATATATCGTTTTATAGTCGACACTAGAACCCGTCGGGCTGGTTCCGAACTTGACGAACTCTAGCTGAGGCTATCCTAGATTAAATGCCACTACAATTAGGTAGAACCATTTTAGTTATAAAAATATTCTGTAGAATTCTTGAAATGATTCAGCCAGTCCTTTTTGGAAGAGTTGTAAGTATGACAATCGATACTTTTTGATCTAAAAGAAGACTTTCTATGTTCTGAGTGATGAAGATTATTTTATTGATTCAATTTTTTTCTCTATATTTTAGATCATAATAGAGCAGAGATGTATGAAGTAAGAGATTATATTAATTTGTATTTTTTATCATTTTGAATATTGTGTTGTATAAAGGAAGTTCGTCTTTGGAAAAATCCTAGTGAACGTGAAAGGTAAGAGATGAAATAAATATTTTTCCTTATTTAATTTTGTTTTTTTTAAACATTATCTATATAGATATGATAATATGGCTGATGTATTTTCAATTATTACTACATTACAAGCACTTGAAAAAGCTTATATAAAAGATCTTGTTGAACCAGCTGAGTATGTTTTTGAAATATTCATAGAAAAATTTTCCATAAGATTTTTATTTTAGATATACAAAACATTGTGAAAAATTATTAGCTAAATTTACGGCAGCATTTCCTCAAATTAAAGGTGAATTTACTCGTATTGAAGATTTTGTTCATAAATATAAAGTAAAAAAAAAAGAATTTTTTCTTTTCTATTTTCATTTTATATTATTCTAGCTTGATTGTCCAGCAGCTTTATTACGTATACATGAAGGTCGTCCTATTACTGTTCGAGATGATCGTGGTAATATGGGCAAAGATATTGCTGAAACAGTTTCGGTATGAATTCGAAACAAAAAAACAAAGAGAATTTTTTTCCTTAGAAGTTTTTCATTTATTTATTTATTTATTTTTATTTTTTTGTTAACAAATAGCTTTTTATTAATCTTATGGATAAACTTAAATTGAATTATCGAGCTAATGATATGGTAAGATTATATGAAGAATAAAGAATAGAAATCTAAATAGATTATTATTTTAGCTTCAATCAGATGTTCGTGATTTGTTAGGTGTTATTAATAGAATGAATTTAGTCCCAGCGAATTATATTGGTCGAGAAAAGATTCTAAAATGGTAAATAAATATTAATTTTTTTTTTGATGAATGGATTAATTAATTCTTGTTTAGGTTGAATTTATTGACAAATATGAATGCAGCTGAAGACATTACTGAGGAACAAGCACGTCAATTTCAAATGGATCTTGAAATATGTTATAATGATTTTAATCGACTTCTTTCATCAAATGGATAAATTCTACATATATGTAGTTTTCTTTATTTCTATTGTAAAATTTAAAGTTTTTCATTTTTCTTCGATTGATCCTAAGTGATAAAGATATACGATGTAATTCTTTTTCTAAAAAAAAAAGATTATTTGCTTCTAGTTATATCTTTTATTTAACTATAAAAATTCATTTCAAATGATTATTTTTGGTATATCATTCATGTGTTAAAAATAGAAATATCAAAAGTGTATCCCACAAATTATATTAAAGCAACTGGAGACGATGTTACAATTTCTAGAACAGAAAAGCACTAAATGCGATTACTTTTATCCCTTCTTTATACACCTTAAGAATCAGAATTAAAGGCAAACGATTATCAGATACAAATTCTTTCTAGCTTATGAGAACAGCAAGTACTAGACTTCCTTCCCATAGTTCGTTAGCAACAGGAAAAGGTACTGAACGAAATTAACAAGAAAGGCTTACTCTGTTGTAGAATATTCTAAAGTCTTCATTGAAATTTAAATGGCAGGAATACATCGTTGAATCTTCTAAATAACGTAGTTTCTGGTTTTTGTGTAGATAAAAGATTATGTGATAAATATCAAGGATGATGGTTAGTGATGTGTTGACTGCTACTGTCATCGTATCGTCAACACAAAAAGAATGCAATGATTAAGTTCTAACTTTCGGAAATACTCAATATAAATGTTTCTGAGTTTATCAAGATATATATTAATGCGTTGAGATCTACTGTAGATATAAAAAATATTAACAGCCGATTTATCTTGCAATTAAGCCAATGGATAGAATCATAATAACAATAGTAAATTAAGAAAACTATAATAAATAACGAGCAACTAACAACAAGCCAAATACAAAAAGAGAGTCCCAGTAAAAAGAAAAAAATTCTATTTGAAATTCAGAAATAAATACGACAGATTATTTCCCTGGCGATAGATTATTCTTAGAAAGAAGTCATCATCATTAAAGATTTTTTTACGTTATGTATGTTGTATTAATAAAATGCATTTAAAGATTCTACATTTCAGTTGCAAAGAGACTACGCAGAAAAGCTTTTTTCATCAAGTTACTTATAACTCATCTTATAGAACCAACATAACTAAAAGTTAGTATGTAAAACAATGTTGTAGGTCAGCATTGAAATATTTTTCTTTTAGAGTGAAAATATATTGCATAAGAAATAGTTTAAATTTGTTAAAATTAATTTACATGTGCAAAAGGATGATTCTCTTGGCAATTAGATTACTGCAGTTGTATAAAATGTTCGATGCTTTTATGTGACAAAATAAAAGTTTTCTATTCTAAATTTTAAAGTTGATTTTTTGTTCAGCAAATACAACAAAATATTCAATAAATTACGTTTTAAAAGTTGAATTTATTAGAATTTAAGTCTTTAACACTTCGTTAAAAGTTACAACATGGTGATAAAAGAGAAATTTACACAAAATCCATAATGATAAAGAAACAAAAAGCAAAAATTTATTGATAAATAAAAAATTTTAAAATTATTTAAATACTTGTTTTCTTCCTCATCATTTTCCACTGATTGACGAAATAACTTTCATTTCAAATTAATCGTAACTATCTCTTCGTCTCTATTAGTTCATTTAATTTTGATGTAAATGTTGATTTTCATCATATTTTTGTTTGTTGTTGTCATTGCCATTAGTTGTGTAAATCGAATAAGTGTTTCAAGTGAACGATGAAAAAAAATAAGTTGAGCAAATAATTCTTTTTCTAAGTGTAACTCATCAAGCGCTCGTACTAAATAAACTTCTTCACTTAATTTTTCAACACTATCAGCAAACAGTCATTCATGAAATATTATTAATTGAATATCAGAGAATAATATTTGACGAAAATGTGTTAACCATAAAACATATAATAGGAGAAAATTTAACCTTTCATACCAGTGATCATTAGTCTATCGTTTATACTTCGAGTTTGATTTGCTATCATACATATTCCTGCTTTCTTTACACAAGCTGGAAGGAGTATGAAATTCTTTTATGTTTATTTCAAAAATTTTGGTTGAGCTTGCACAAGTCCATTTCACTAGATGGCTAGTACAAACAGTACATTCAATTTTTAGGAACAGTAAAAAATCTCATAACAACCTGGAAAAGTTTAAGCCAGCTCCAGTTGAATTTATTTTAAACAAACTAAAGGATCTGAGGAACATAAGAAATAACTATTACCGAAAAAGAAGATATGACATTGATAATGAAACAGAAAAAATTCTACTGAGAGCACTAAACAGAGAGATACAGTTTGATATATCTAATTATCAATCGAAGTGGTGATTAAATTTTCTAGAGTAAATCCAAGAAAGTAAAAATAAAGGTGATGCAGCTTTTTGACTCCATTGAGGCAAACTATATAAATCAAAATCACTTCTCTTTATCAAGTTACGAGAGAATAATAATTTTATATCAGATAAACAAAAAAATAGCTAGAGAACTCTATAAGTATTGTGTAGAATAATTTCAACCTCCAACTATTGATAGAAATGATTCTCATGATACAGAGATAGAAAATGAGTTCTAAGAAATCCTAAAAACTTTCAGCAACTCGGGAGACGAAGTAGAACGAACAAAGACAAAAGAAATCTGTAACTTAGTACAACTCCTTAAACACAAGAAATCAACAGGTTACGACTCCATATCAAATTACACACTAAAGCTACTTCCTCCAAGATACATACAATGCCGTTGTAATTGCTTTAATATTTGGTTAAAAGAATGTAGATTGCCAAATGAGTAGAAAGTAGCCATGGTCATCACTTTGAATAAATTAAAAGATGATGTTTCCAGACATGATCCAACACGCTCTGTATCGTTGCTGGCAATAATACGTGGTTAAGCTGAATCCTATAATATTGTTCCTATAGAAAAATCAGATTTTAGGCCGAACTGCCTAATCCCAATTAGAGTTTTGTCCATATATCAAGAGATACTCAATAAGTTGACTGCTAATGGACCCATTCTATCCGTTTATATCAATTACCAGAAAGCTTAGCCTTAATAATAAAACAATATCGATTGAATATACCAAATGAGCTGTTGAAAATGATAGGGTCTTGACTGTTCATACAAAAAGCTTTTGTGCTCCATGGTGAAGCTAACACTTAAGAGTTATCTATATCAATTGGATTACCTGAAGGAAGTAGTCTAAGTCCATATTTATTAAATCCGAGCATCAATAGAGAAGATATTCGAATCGATGTTATAGTTCCCAGAACACGAAGACACTAAAAAGTGCAATAAACTTTTTGAATATGTTAGAAAGTAGAAACAACTGATCAATATTTTCAAATCGGTCTATCATGTCTTTCACACAGAAATTAATCTACACTCCCTAAGAATATTAATAAACAATGTCCCACTTGAGTGTGTTAACAACTTTAAATACCTCGGACACACTTGGACTAATAAGTTGTTCGTGCGCAAATCTGTTACAAATTTTTTAGAAAAGGTTCAACGCTCGTACACGAAAGTGAAAATAGTTGAAACGAAACAGAGTGATCTCCACTGATGTTTTAAGATAACGCTTTTTCGCATATTCGTTTCCATTGTTTGCTTGACTTCTCTGCCTTTTCGTTTTTTCTCCCGCATACTCAATAAGAACCTGTTGGGAAAAAATTTAGAGCAGGTCCGAAACTAGTCTACAAATGTCCATGGATAGCGAGGGCTATCAAAGATCCCAAACTTGTTCACTTTATCTAATACCCGTCAATGAATAGAAGGGGTTTAATAGTCAGTCGAAAGAACATCAAATTTATGTCACATTCTGATAATATACTTCATATCTCTATTTCTCAGCGGAATTTTCATTTTACTTAGCGAACTTTAGGTACATTTTACTATGTTCATGCGTCACTTTTCTGTGATCGGAATAATTTTTCTCTTTTCAATGGATTGTCATTATTTTTCGTAAGAAGACTTTTCTACATGCTTAAAAAAGAGAAAAACAATTTATGAAGATAGATCTGAACAAACGTATGCCTTCACGTTCCATAGATCAATAATAACTACAGCTATATAAAGACATTATTCAACCCAAGAGAAAAAAATATTTTCGAAAGAATGGATAAGTCCGCTAATAAAAAATAACTGTCTATTTGTCCAACATATATCTAATGGATTCTCTGATTTGATTTAAATTTATTCAAATCTCTGTTATATCCATGTGAATGAATCTAGTTCATGTGAAAAGAAAAATTCTTCACAGAACAGAGACGTCCGCCGAAACAAACAATATTCTTTTAAAAAGATTTCAAACTTTAAAAAATCGAAAAAGATGAAACTAAAGCATTGAATTTATATATCTTTATTAAATTGTGTGCAGCTTTAATTCGAGACTAGTTAAATCTAAGAAGTTGTAGAGTTCCCCAATGTTTCCTCTAGAAGTTTAGATTTTCTTAACAAACTTCGACCAAAAATAAAGAAAGGATGTTTGAGCTTATACTTTTTCAATAGTATTTTTTATCGACGTTTATTTGTCTTAGAACTCTACGTAGTTCATAGACGACATCTAAAGTATAAATATACGATATCGGTATGGGTGTGAGCTTAAAATGTTTTCTTCACTGTTCACCACATCCATATCTACACTCTGTGTGCGAAAAATTGCATGTCGGTACAATTTTCTGTTTGTCAAAATAAAAAAAAAGCAGATTTTGTTTACAAAAAATAATCACGTCTGTAATAGGTGAGAAGACAAATACAATTTTGTTTGTTGTATGTGCCCATATTATCGATCCGAAGTAATGTAAAATTCTCATGTTTAAAAAATAATTCAATATGAAATATATATATATTCCTTTACTTGTAATAGAAAAAATATGTAAACTACTGATAATCAAAAGTATAATAGTACTACTATCGGAATTTTAAAAGAAGACACCTGGAAAAAAAGCTTATAACTTTCGAACGAAAAGTCATAGCGACCTGCGGTCTTCAGCAATCGATAGAAGATTAGAGGGGGCATATTTTTATATAAAAAAAGCAAGGTTTAAATAATCGGTGACTGTGGAATCACTGAAAGAG